ATATATATATATATATATATATATATATATAATTTAAGTTGGCAGACATGACACCAACTACAACTTTGTAGCCATATTAATTTTTTTTAAACCGTGATTATAGTATAAGTGCGTACAAAAATATAATAATAATATTTTTCATTTCACCAATGATAATACGTATTAGAAAAAACTAAAATACTGGTTTAAATGATGTATTTAAAACATGTGATAATAGTCGTTGCATCTGCAATTTACATCTATAGACAAAATTCAACTTCATGTTTTATTTTTTATAATAAGTTTTTTCTAATACTTCCTTTGTATGACACCAAATATCTCAAATTCTCATTAGTTTCTAATATAATATAAACCAATTTTTGCGATGATGTATTTCAAGCTAACTCTATAACCCGAAAAAAAAAAAGATGTATATCAGTGTGCCAGTTTGTATGAAAGTTTCATATTTAACATGAAATATAAAACCGATTGGTAAAAGTATAAAAAATAACAGTCATATAAAAAATTAAACATTTCAGTAATCAAAACATCTTATACTCAATAATACAAAGAAAGTAACCAAGAAGGCATAAACGTGTATTTACAAAATTGTTGTTAGAATTGAGCAAAATGTACACTACATACACATGGGGGAGAGATATGTCTAACTAGCCAAGGATAAAAAGTTACATGCCCAAAATCCAAACTTTTTTGGCAAATACATGGCATTTTTTAAACTTAGAGGGGTTAGTATTGCTATTTTAGTGAACAAATGGGGAGGAATGATAGAAAACACGATCTTACTTACCTCATCTCCTAACCTTGTGCAAATTACTAATTTGCAAAAAAGGGCTTCTTAAACCTTTTGTTTTCTTTTCACTCTTTCTAAAAAAAATAAAAAAGAACACAATCCCGTATTATATGATTTTACAAGTGTAATACACTAAATCAGTTAAAATTGTTTGTTAATGACATATTGGTTTCTAATCACGGAACCAATAAAACTGTCATTACATAACAGTTCAACTGGTTTATTGTATCATATCTGTAAAATGAAATGATACGATGATTGTATGTAATAGATTCTTTCTTTTTGGTTCTTTTTGGGGGATTGGTCACTAGAAAGCATAGGATTCACTCGCATACATATGACAAGTATAGTAAGGACAATTTACAACCCTTGATCTTCTTTGATGCTTGAATTCGACGATAGAGATTTGAAGATAATCGGTGCACCATATTGTGGGTAGAGTAGCATCAAAACCGTTGGTGCGTGTTGATACTTTGGAGACAACCGAAAGGAGAATCTTTGTAAAATGATTGCAAGTGTCAATTTTGCTTGTAACATTGCTAGATTTTGTCCAATGCACGTACGTACACCGATCCCAAAAGGTATGAATGACACTGGGTGTTTAGCAGCACGAGCTACTCCATCTGAAAACCGTGATGGGTTGAATTCATTAGCATCATTGCCCCATATTGCTTGATCATGATGAACGGCTAGGATTGGAATAAGAAGCTCGGTCCCACGTGGGACCTTACATCCTCCCAATTGGACATCCGCCTTTGCTCGTCGAATCGATGCGACAATCGGAGGGTACAACCTCAAGGACTCGTTGAGAATCATGGTCAGCTGCACATGGGATCACATCTTATAAGTAAAAGTGAAAAGATTTTTTTTTTTTTTACATGAGGGTAAAATGGTAATTTAATAGGTTGGGGTAGAATGGTCATTTAACATTAGGTAAAAGACAAAACATGATTTTAGCGTGAGAGAGAGTGTACCGTCTTAAGCTTGGAAACATCATCTTTGGTGGGGATGTCACGTGGTCCGCACACCTTAAGCACCTCGTCACGTGCTATCACCTGCCACTGTGGGTGCATCGCTAGCAAGACCGTCGTCCACGTCAGCAGGTTGGATGTCGTCTGTTCTCCGGCGAAAAAAAAACTCTTGCACTCCTCCGCAATGTCACGTGCCGTGATGGCGGGTGCCGTCGCCGGCGAGGAATTCACCGATTCTTTTGTACTCGCCTGGATCATAAGCCCAAGCAAATCCTTAGGCCCATTTTCCATTCCTTCGTTATCCCAATTTTCCCTTCTCCTTTCAATTACCCTCATTAACGATTTCTTGATTTCCCTCTCTAATCTCCAAGATTCTCTATTCCTTTTCGTGGGTAAAAACCTTTAAAAAAATAATATAAATAAATTCGGTTATGAATACTAAAATGGGTGACACCTACTCGGAATTTGGTTAACAGTACTAGAATGGATGACACCCTGTGTCTTCGAATAATGATAATTATATAAAGAAAACTAGGATAATAGATTGTGACATGTACCTATAACCCGGGATAGTGACCTTTTGAAATGCTTCAGAAGCCAAGACCATTTGTTGAGCTTGTAATTGAAAAATGTGTTTTCCATCTTCATAACTACTACCAAATGCGGTCCTTGTGACGGTTTCCTCAGTTAAATTTTGGTACCATTGTGACACTTCAATTTCGACTTCATCGGAATTTGACATATCTAACCATTTTTCTAACATTCTCACAATACTTGTTGTGGCATTGGGTATGAGTAACTGTGGTAAACAAAACATATTTTTATTTGTTAAAGATAAAAACTTTTAGAAATACATGTAATCTAATGATTGAGAAAAAGTAAAAGTTAACTTACTTTGAGATTCTCCATGTGAAAGGTGGGAGTGATGATTTTTCTATGGAGAGCCCATTTTTCACCTTTGAGGCTAAGGAGACCATCACCTTCAAGTTGTTTGATGAGAGGGTGGGCTTCATTTTTTTCATAAAATTCCGCTTTCGAGCTGAATATTTCTCGAATTAGGTCAGGTTCGGCTACTGTTAGCCGAACCGTGGGTCCAAACCATACTAAAAAAGTTGGACCTGCAAAAAAGTAAACAAAATTTACTATGAGAAAGAATAAGTTGTTTTTATCTTTCTTTTATACCATCATATAGTAAATATAGAGCTAGAAAAAGTTGTTTTTATCTTTCTTTTATACCATCATAGTAAATATGAGAAATAAGAAGTTGTTTTTATCTTTCTTTTATACCATCATAGTAAATATAGAGCTAGAAGTGGTAAGCATCAAGTTAAACAAAAGAAGGGTGGTGAGAAAGAAACAACACATGAGCCACTAATTTCATGAAGTTGTGAACTTGTACTCGTAGAGAGAGAGTAGAGAGAGAAAAGACAACTCAATGACTATGCCACTATCAAACAGAAACAAGTTCATTATCAAAAGCCAAGCTTCCCACAAAAATCTAAACGAATTATAAGGACACAAAGGGAACCGAAAAGGAAATCATAACTCCATGACTTTACATACAAAGATTTCTAAAAAATTCATGATCTTTATCCTTAATAAATACATAATTCTCCACTCCATAACCATTTTCTTTTTATATATATATATGTATTGAGAGAGAAAGAGAGAGAGAAAGAGAGTAAAATGAAGAATATATGCATCCAAGCTAAGGAGGTGGTCTAAAAAGCTACCTCCATATGTTGTCATGAATGCTATAAAGTGGACAAACTTAAAAATTAATCTTTTAAAACGATAAAATATAAAAAAAGACACCATCACATGAGAAATTTTCCAAATTCCCATACGCATAGGTGCACTCATGAAATTTAAAGGAAAACCCATGCCATTTTAAGAAAAATATAGACTGAAAATGATCCGAAATTTGATGATATAGTGATATATCAAGAACCCATTTCACTAATGCACAGTTTTCGACCCCATTTAGGAATCCAATTTATATACCATGTCCAAGATTCGAACTTGGAACATCTTTTAAACAACCCATGTCTCCTTTGACTTGAATAAGATCATTCGGTTTCATGGGTTAAAATCCCATTTAAAAGAAAAAAAATACGAAGAAGAAGAAGAAGAAGATGATGATGATGAAGAAAAAGACCCAATTTCTAAATCTTTTTCATGATTAGAACATGAGAATTGAAGATCAAATATGAACATACCGTAGATTTTCTTCCAATGATGGTAAAAAGAGAGAACTCTCGGGAGAATATTGTGAGAAAAAGGCATGGGTTTTGAAGAAGCTTCCACCATTAAACTCACAAGCTCTTTAGCATTACCAATAAAGAAGCAATAAGGAGGTCCCCTTATGCCTTGTTTGGCAAAATGCTCTTCAATCTTCCTTGGCTTCCACCATAACAACACAAAAATCTTCACACCAAACACCATCACTATCAATAAAATCAACACCACTTTCAACCACCATTTCAAGAACATCATATCGTCTTCCATTTTTTGCCTTTCTTTTCTTTTTCTCTCTCTCTCTCTCTAAAAAAACTGTGTTTCTTGAGAGCTTTTAAGCACTGCTTTTTTGGGCTTGAGAGAAGCTGCCTCTTATCTTCTTCTTTGGTTATGTTTGTTAGTACTTGACAGTGGTTTGTTCTCCTTTTTAATGCCACCAACAAGTTTAGAGAGAGAAAGTGTGGAGAGAGAGTGTGTGGGGGGGGGGGGATTGGCAAGGCCAACGGCGTAGGGGCCGCCATTGGAAATTTGGAATTATAAGGGTCAACGAATGATAATATTATTGATCTTACTCTTATAATTTGTTAAAGACAATAATACCCTTGTCTTTTCTAAGAAGGACTGGTTTTCTTTTTTCGGGGATCTTGAAATTGAATCTTGGATGGCCTTTTCATTTCACTTTCCAATATCATTAGTATATTACAAAAGTTGCAAGGGTTGGATTGTAAACAAAGAAATTCATATAATAATTTTTCAATTCCAAGTTTTTCATATTTGTAAATTGAAAAAAAAAAAAAAAAAAAGAGAGAGTTGCAAAGGGGGGAGGGGTGATTCCTTATGTCACCTAGTTGCTTTGTTGCTTCATTTATATAAAGATGACTACGTAAACTTAGAGAAATGATAAAAGAATGTCTTACCTATAAACATATCAAATTCATAACTAAGTCGAACAAGATAATCATTTATATCATCAATTTCATGTTTACAACTTATATAGTTAGGATGTATTTGGTTCATGGATTTCGAAAGAATTGAAAGATTTTGAATGTAAATTTTAGTGAAATTTGGGTTAGGTTAACAACTCAAAGGAATTTGAATACTTTTATATTCGAGATAAATTGTCATTCTTTGGCTATAGGCAAATATTTAGATTTCATTTCTTATTTTTATTATAAAGACAAATGTCCTGGGCCTCCTTTTATTTATCTAGAAATCATCAAAACAAAATATGATGATCTCTCCCACACTCCACCTACACCCACCCCCAACCCCAATCCACAAATTTTTATAAACATGCTCTGATACCAAATTGATATAAACATGCTCTGATACCAAATTGAAAGACATGGCGGAATTAATTAAATTAGGACAGAATATACCTGAATGATGCGTCGGAATGGATTGACGATGGATTGATTGTCTGGGTTTGATATGTTTATATGAATATTTGGACATGTTTGGATAGGGTTCTGCTATTCAGAAATAGACGAGCTATTTCAACAGAAGAAGATTGAGAACAACTCAAATCTTAAACACTCAATTTTAGCTTATTTATTCCATATGGGCAAAGGCCCTATTTATAGGCTCAAAGGAGCCGCGTACAATAATAGAACTGCAATCGGTTGATTGCAATATGACAAACCTATTTACATTAATGCCCCCTAGAGT